ACCAATCTTTAATATTAGCAGTGCCTATAACATTAAGTACAATTGGTCATAAACAGCCATGCCAATGCTCACAAATTTCCTACATTTCCAAATCCTACAATCTTCCTGCTTTAACTTGAGTGCATTGTGCAAGGGCATTATATGTCACAAACGTTTAAATAAGATGCAATCCCATAAAGCAAATACCATTGAAATTGGCTTAGTTTTTACATCCTCAGCCCAGTCCTGCAGGTCCCATAAATTTTCAACAATTTTTTTTTGTTCAGCAGTAAGGAAAGCACCCTGTTATTTAAAAGGACTTTTGTTACCATCAGGCACAGTGCTGCTGCTTCAAAAGTAAGCTTGTAACATTGGAGATCAACTGTCACATAAATGTCTTTCGAATGAGAGGGAATTGCCTTTCCACCATGGCTGTAACCATGGAAAAATTCAACAACTTGGGGAGGCTGAACGAAACAAACTTGTTTGAAGTAACTGGGAATGGACTTTGGAATCTGCATCATTTATTACGACATAACTGATATCATTTTACCAGCTCTTGGTCACATTGGTGGTGTTGCCCTCATTTATCTTCAAAATATATAGATCTTTTTTTGAACATGCTATTAACAATGGAAAAACACTTAAACAATGGGGATTGATACAAAAAATGAGTATAATATACACAAATGTGCCAAGTTGGCAATCCAGTGTAAGATCTGGACATGAGATAAAAAGTTTATTCAAAACATTTAGAATATCACCACAGTGAGGTGACATTTTACCTTATGGAACAAACTTCCAAATAGTTATAATGTCAAATTAAATATTCTGGTGTAACAATGAATGGTGTTTTAGTTTGAACATATTGGCTTCGTCCTTTGAGGACTAATCACATTCCTCTGAGAGGATACTGGCAACCAACTTTAATACCCCAGAGAAATAACCCATGTCATTTGAGAGCATCTTTGGGGTATATATGTTGTTTGTAAACATATTGGACTAGTCTTCTGAGGTGATGTACTTGAAGAGATAAGACATGGACTCGTTGTTGTGTGTGCGCCTGATGGCCTCCACCAAGAGTACACTGATGTCGACTGTCTTAATCTTGTGGCACTGCATTTTCTGGATGTCATGGGGAACTGTGTTGCTCACAACCACCTGAAATACAAATGTTGCAATTGTCACTTCAGATCAATGTATTAACTGACTTCCTGAGCAAATCTCCTGGATGTCAATAATTACTTCCCCTGAACTTCAGATCCAACGTGGGCTAGCTTCTTTACATTCAAATTTCTGTAGGTGTCCACATAATGGAATCCTATCAGTAGCATTTGATTCATGTTTATGAATATTAAAATGGAAAAATTTTAGAAATAAAATCCTATTTCATTTCCTTTGGCTAAAGTAAACCATATTCAGCAATTGATGTAAGTTGCATGTGCTAGTGTCTGAAGAAATGTTATGATTGGCACCTGTACCTCATCAATAGGAGAAGCTTCCAGAAGTCTCGGAGCATCTGATGACAGCAACCCGTGTGTGGCCATGACATATATTTTATATGCTCCTCTTGACTTCAAGAGTTCTGCTGTGGCAACAAAGGCTTCCACATCATCAATCATGTCATCCTGTACAATAAAAGGGAAATAATTTGGGATAAACTTTATTTCTGAAATAACTGAATATCATGTAACTGTTATTCTATTGTCTTCATTCTATAATACACTGTTCTTCTTTGGACACTGAATAAAATGTCTAGTAACAATTTTTAGTACTTGGTTATATCATAAAAGTATGCCCAGGCAGAGGATGCCTCTCTTCACTGATCAGGCAATCTGCATGTTATCCACTTACCACCATGATTGCAATTTTTCCAGCAACATCACCAACAACATTCATGGGTGGCTTGGCTTTAGGTGTGAGCACTGCAAATTAAAACAGAATAATACTTGGTAATGTTAAAATGATTTTTTCTGTTGCGATGTGTTTTAGGACTTAATAAATAAAGATAAGCAGAGCTACTTTGTAACTTCATATTTGTTTGTTAAATTGATACTAGATTCTGATACTGCATTGTTACAGTTGAGAATTTAAGAACAAAATGTCCTAAATATTAATCTGCTTACCCAATTTACAAAGGTTACACATCCTTTGTGACATTTATAAAAAAAAGAAGTGACAGCATTTTCCTGTGCAGCTCCAAAACGTTTTTATGCATTGGCAGCATTGCCTTCTCCTCAAAAAGAATATTAAACCATTGACAACACTTACTGGGCATAATTTCTATTCCTCTACTGAGCCTGTTTTCTTCCTCCTCTTCCTGTGGAGGGGGAGAGTGCCTGCCGTCATCTAGGTCAGAGTCGGGAATCCTTTCCTCACCATGAACCACTGCAATACCAAGGCGCAACCTCTCAGCATAGGACGTTGCTCGCTTGACAGAATTAGCATTTCTGGCAACAATGATGGCATTTCTGTAATCTGGGATCTGAAAGGTGAATGGGTAACTTATAGAAATCTGTTTTTTGCTTAACATGTAATGTCAGAATGTCAATAATTTGCCATACAGTTTGATGATAAATGAGCATAATTTTTGTGGCTAGAACAAACAAAACATTATCACAGAAAAGGATGTTATACTTGGTCAATTTCTAGGTACTCTTTATTGCTGCACTTTTAAGGTTACATACCATTTTCATGATATATTCTATGAGGAAAGGTGATGCACGCAGGTTATCAACTGGCATATCAAAAAATCCCTGTATTTCTTTCTGGTGTAGATCAATGGTGATCAAGTTTGTTATACCTAAAAAACAGAAACGTGACAGGGGAATACTGTTTATATAATGAATGTACTAACAGTAAGACAAAATTCAGAACACTGAAACAAAACAGAATTCAGTTTTAATTCACTATCATCATAATAAAAATGGACATCAAAAGTTTGTTATACACGTAAACCTCTCCAAGGCAAGACTGACATAAAGTCATAAAGTACAATATCATATTTTTTAATTTTCTCAATGTTTCACACAACTAAGAAACAATGTATCCAGATGAAACTTTCAACTAATTACTTAGAAGTGATCAGACTTCAATACGACTTACCTGCATTTTTGAACATCTGTGCCAGCAATTTACAGGCTATTGCTCCCCTCTTCCTCATCTTGCTCTGCTTACAGTAGGGCAGGTATGGCACTACACCTATGATCTTTCTACAGGAGGAAGTCTTACAGGCATACGACATGATCAGCAACTCCATTATGTCATTGTTCACATTCCTGAAAAATAAAAATTGTTCAGACTCCTGAGAAATAAAAAAAAACATCAAATTATTGCTCTCTTCCCATTATTTAAATCATGGGTATTATTGATTAAATTGCCACTATATCATAACCATATTGTAGGATTACTAGACTGAGAAGCATGTGAATTCAATGAAAATAATTGTATTGTAGGAGTAATTTTAAGTCAAGTTTAAGAAGAAAGACTTTCAACCCAACTTCGGGTCTTACTTTGTTCCAGTTTGAATAATATATACATCCTTCCCTCGTACAGACTCTTGGATATCAACAACAGTCTCTAAAATATATAAAGCAACATGTATCATACAAAACAAAGCACAGTAATATAAGTATCTATGCCATTAATTTTTTTTTTTTTTTTTGAAAGAGTATAATAGTTTTTCTAATAATTCTTCAAAGATGCCGGTCAATTGAGAAAAGTCGACAGTTACAAAATACATGCAATCTTGTTGTAGATCACGCAAAATAACAAAACCTGATGCACGTTATGAGTTTAACTAAATGACAAACATTCCGTTATCTGAAAGAAATAACACCATTCTACTCAAATGAAAATTAACTTTAAAGAAATACAAACTGACACATTTTCAAGGTTCTATCACTCAAATCTAGTTAGAAGATAGTTCGCCTACCTCTATTTGACTTGTGGTAAACATTGCTAATACCAACTCTTTCACAAAGTTTTCTGGAAAAAAAGGTTGACCTTGAAACTAAACAACCAGAGCGCTATTTCAATCATATGGACTTACAAAAGTTGTTGGCTATTTCTAATCAAATGTTGATTCCCATTATGAGTAGTACGTTTAATTGCTGTTACGCCGACATGAATCACAAGTTGAGTAACGTCAAATTTGTCAAGGCAAAGTGTCTCTCATCAAGAGGGCATCAGCAAAATAGCACAGTGAATCAAAACATTTCACTCAACAAGCAACACTGACAATACCAACGCATTTCAAAAACTAACAATGTCAAATTTTCCAAACGTACTCTGAAATCTGCTTTGTGAGTTCTGGGTGCGAATTCCCTGCTAGCAACACCAGTCCAGCCTTTTCTCCAGGATTCATGATTGCATGCGTGATAGAGTCTGTTTGTACACATGCAGAGCTCTAAAATGGCCACCCGGAGTGACCTTCACCTGCCTCGCTTTGGACTTAGCGGGAGAAAAGCACATGGCAGTGTTTATGTAAACATGGAGCGATGGGATGTTTTTTCGGTGCATTGTTATCCCCAGGCAATCATTTATTAGGAGACTGATTGTGATGAACAATAACACAGTAATGGAGGAACAGTCATCATACTTCAACCGAAGAATTACCAGATCGACGATAAAATCCGAAAGTGTTGTTGACAAGAAGGCAGATACTGCAGCATCGAAGAAACTGTCAAAACTGACGAAAGCAGCATCAGCGGGATCTGCAATAAGAGCTGAATCAACATCTACAGAGAAGGAAATTATAAATGACAATAAAAAAATCAAAATAGAATATGAAGAAACAGACAGTAGTGCACATTTGATTTCTGACGCTGAAGATTTTGAAGTTCCAGTTAAAAGAGAACAACAGGACTCAAAGCGTTCTGCTTGGGAGCCACCAAACTGCTGGCAACAGCTGGACAATATCCGTGAAATGAGGAAGAACAGGGACGCGCCTGTGGACACGATGGGCTGTGACAGGATAAGTGACCAAGACGCTAAACCACAGGTAATTTCCCAGTCCGAGTAAAAATACTGTTGTCTAGATCCCCTATTGTACTGGTACTAACTTTGATGTTTTGTATTTACTATTAAGTTAATATACAGAATATGTATCACTTCGGATTTACCACCATACAACCAGCTACTCTACCACCAGTATAAACCCAAATGCAAGGTGTACCTACATGTATGGCAAAAAGGTATTTTTATGCATGAGAGCATTTATTTTTGTTGTAGGTATACAGGTACCAGGTGTTGCTGTCTTTGATGCTGTCAAGTCAAACCAAAGATCAGGTCACATCTGCTGCAATGACAAGACTAAGACAACATGGCTGTAACATTACAAACATCTTAGCCACTGATGACAAGAAACTTGGGGAACTCATTTATCCTGTTGGATTTTGGAGGGTATATTGCAGAGTATATACAGTGTACATATATAATATATGGTTGATAATATGAATAAAACAGTATCTGTGTTTGTATACTTGAATCACAACATGGAGGTGGATAAAGTTGCATATCTGTAGTGGAATTAAGTGGATAATCACAGACTTCATAGTGTTTGCAATATCTTATATAGAATGTTGTTTTGTCTTTTTTTAAAGAGGAAAGTAGAGTACATCAAAAAGACCACTCAGATATTAAAAGACAAGTATAAAGGTGACATTCCTAGAACATTGGAGGAGCTTTGCAAACTTCCAGGTAATTTCTATAAAATGTGTCAGCAGAAGTTACCAGTTGCTGTTAATTTCCCATTTTAACTTTTTTTACACAATTTTTGCTACTAGTTATGTGATTGTACATGTTCTTATAATAACTGGTTGCTGTTAGTTTTAAAACCTTGGAAATGTCTCTTGAATATATGCACAGGTAAATTATAAGGTGATATATGGGTAATTAAAGAACACAGATATTTTCTTGGTGCCAAATGTGATAGGAATATATCATTAACAAATATCTCATTTTATAGGTGTTGGTCCTAAAATGGCACACCTGGTAATGAAATGTGCATGGGCAGAAGTGACAGGTATAGCAGTAGACACACATGTCCACAGGATCTCCAACCGCTTGGGCTGGGTTAGAAAACCCACTGTGCAACCTGAGAATACAAGAGTGGAGCTAGAGTCCTGGTTGCCAAAGTAAGATTTCAAATAGCAAATCCAGTTCAGTTGAAGACAAATGTCCTTGTTTTCAATTCACATTTGTAACAAGTACTTATAGTTTGGAGTACTGAATTGATTACAAAGGAGGAATTTGGTCTTTTTTTTATATTATTTAGTAATTCAGCTAGTAAAAAACTTATGAGCCCAGTGCATCTTGGTTTACATGTATATTGCATGGCAGTAGACACTTTCACCAATATTTCAACAACAGATAACACTTTATAAACAGTTGGGTAACTATTGGCGATTTTCAACTTTTATTCATTTTTTAAAGGTGGTATTGGTGCTTACAACAGTAATGGGATTTTTCTGACTGTCCAATTTGGGAGCCAAAAAGTCTCATCCCTGTTTAATACAATAATGATTTTTCAAAGACTATGGAATTGGTAACTGGAATTTAACTTTTTAGGGAACTGTGGACTGAAATCAACTGGTTGCTGGTTGGGTTTGGTCAGCAGACCTGTCTTCCAGTGGGACCTAAATGTCAGCAGTGTCTAAATCAGCACATATGTCCATTTGGAAAGAAAGAATTAAAGAGAAAGTCACCTGTCAAGTCTCCAAAAAAATGACAGTATTTTTTTTATAGGAAGAGAATATAAGGACATTTTAATTTCATTTACCAGCAGTATTTCTCTCTTTTGTACTAAAATTTAAATTAGTGCAATCTTTAAATAATTTTGAATTAAGAAAATTCTGCTGGCTTCTAAGACACCTGAGTTGGACTTATGAAACAGATAAAAGCATAGCAAGTCACAGTTGTGCTGTTTTTTATGTATTTTTTATTTAAAAGGTCAATCTTGATTTACAAGCCAAAAGAGATATTATTGAGTTGTCCTGAAAGCCACTGCTCTTGGTGAAGAATGCATACCAAAGAAGTAAAAAGTATTAAGTGAAATATTTGAAGCAAAATTAAAGGTACCTGTACATGTACATATGAACCGAGCATCGTTGGAGCATAGATTCCCAGTAACACATATAAACCACTTCTACTAGTTTCTTATACCACTCAAAGTCAACATGCCAAGGGACAAACTGAATATATCACTAGATCAGCCATAAAAGAGCTTAAGACTACTCGTTTCTTTAAATTTTTGGTTAGAAATTTAACCTACTTACGTGGCCTACTTTTCTGTCCCATGTATATACAGCATAGAAAGCTAGCAGAAAAATCTGTTTAAATATCATGTTTCAGGTAATATTAAGCAATGTCTTTTGATAATTCTCTTAGTTATACTACTGCAGTACTTGAAACTATATGCTGGCATTTGGTTGGTTTTTTGTGGCAAAAAATGACTTCATATGCATCTTATCTTATGTTAAACGGAAGCAACGTAGGCTGACCACTCCTTTGGGATATATTATTAACAAATTCTTCCTAGAGACAACTGCGTACTTTCAAGTGATTATAATCATACTCCTATTTCAATTGCACTAACAAAATGGCACCATTAACAAGTTCAAGTCTGAGAAATAAAGCAATAACAGTCATTGTCATAACAATTTTCTAAAACCTACATAATTAAAGTTATGATTAAAGATCTTTTATCAACTGAGCCATGTTGATAAAGAGTAGAGAGCGCAGATCACATAACATATGATTGAGTATCACATTAGTTTCTTTTGACTCCTACATTTCACTATTTTTTCATTAGTTACTAATGAGCAATATGGGACCAATTATCAATTGAAGATTATGGTGAATGGCTTCATCAAGTCCCAGTTCAGGTTTGTGATGTCCAGCATCTGGAAAAAAATATATCTGAGCATTCTGATATGACAATTCACCTGATGATATTACCACAGTATGATATTATTTGTGCTAAGAAACAAAACAGAATGTACCTATTATGTCTCATTTAAAACTGCTTAATAAATCAAAACAAAATAAGGTTTGAGAAAAAGACTAGTCGAGGAGACATCCTATTTGATGTATTAAATGTCAAATTACTCCATAATATTCATCACTTTGCATAGAATAACATCTGAAATTAAAGGAGGACCATTTAGATGTATGTCTGCACATACAGACTCTTCCTTACCTTAGCATTTTCATTGTATTTAAACATTGCTTTTACTCCATTAATGGTGACATCTCCAGGAGGTGCAGGTACCCCCATTACCTTCACTGACCCCAGCTTCATACCAGCACTAGGTGCATAGCCAGCCTTCACCACTGTGGACTTAATCTGATTCTGAAAGCATCAAAATGTTAACCAGTTATATTCTGACACTCTACCCATGAGTACTCTTCAGTTTTAATGCTCTTAAACGGGTCTGTTTTACTTGACATACACTTGCTGCCACCTGTACAGCTTAAGGGTGATGAATGGCTATGGCTAATAAAATACCTAGATGTTGAAAATATGAAAAATTGTCCCTCCTAGGAAGGTAAAGAATTATTCTACTTAAAAAGCTGATCATAATCCTATTGTCCTGTCTACTTACAGGTCTTAAGGATCCTTGGAATGTTATGTAGGTGTATTTTCCATTTTCTACAGCATCTTGAAAAATAAACACAAAATACATGTATATATGTGGCTAAAGTTTATTTAAACTTTGTTCACAATTGTTTACATAAATAAAACAAAGTTCTCTTACTAATAGGTGGGTGATAAAATCAGTTTTTTTCTAAACATACATGTATATCTCATTCATTCTTCATTCTAGTAAATGCAAAAATGATTTTAATCTATACAAAATTGGATGTGTAAGGTACAATATTAAATTTTGGGAATTTTTCTACTCCTCACCTAAACTTTCTCCATCATCCCAGTACAAGTCCCCATTTGCATACCCAACCTCAATCAGGGCCACAATTAAACTAAATGGCTGCATTCGTCTGCAGAGGAAATGTTTTAGAGCATACAGAATTAGTGGAAAAGCTCATCACTTAAATACTTTGAATTACAATACTAATGTATTTTTCTTTCCTTTTTTGTAAGCAAATATACAAACATTGATTTTTCTTTCCTTTTTTATAAGCAAATACACAATCGTGTTGTAAATTGATATGGATAAAGAACGTAAACACACAAAAATTTTCCAGCATCACTACAAGAAACCATGTGACCCTCTAATATATGATACCAAAACCTTTCCAAAGAAAGCAGGGAGTCAGCAAGTAAAATAAACTAACGCATAAGTTGTGGTGGTGGCTCCGCCTGGTGGCTGTGTTGGGATGATGGTGGCACCTCTTACATGGAGGTTGATCTTTTCCAGAGGAGCACTGAGGAGTATGGTATGTCCCCCAGGGACAGGCTCACCAGTATAGTAGTCATACCAAGTGTCATCAGGGAAATAAGCTCTTACCTCTGTCTGTCCCTGGAATAGCAAACTGATGAGTCAGCTGACATTCCAAATTGCAAACATGGCAATTCCAATAATACATTAAAGGTATAAAATTCATGTTGGACCTTCTAATATCAAGAAAATAATATTTTCAGAAATTTTAACTTTTTTTCCATTCATCATCAACATGTACTCTTTCAAAAACAATTCAGAAAATAGCAATCATTTCCAAATTCTAAATTTTTAATTTTCATGTCACCAGTAAAATTTACCCATCTCTACCTCCATATGAATAGTGACTCAAAAACTGGTTTATGGTACATAATTGTGGAACATTTTTGATATAGTATACCTTGGCTATAAAGGGGAAAATATTGAAATTTTCTAGAAAATTAAATTATTGTTTCATGAAGGTGTTCTGATCAAAGTTTATTTTTATGTATCAAAATATCAAAAATAATAGATACAGTACAAAAAGGGAATTTTATTTTTAGGTCAAATTATAAAAGATACATAAATATGATGTGCAGTTGTAAGGGGTCAGGCGAAGGGGTGAAGAAGAAAGAAGTAATAATGAAAAGAAAATTCAAAATTAAAGGATTCCCCCACAGCACAAAGTAAGTTGGATATTACCTCATCTTTACACTAATCTAATACTGGGGAATTACTTCCTAAGTATGTATGTTTCTAGTTTCAGCAAATCCAACAACAATGCTAGTCTATCCAGAGTGAATACTAACCTGATCCAGGACAGGGCTGATCATCAAGCCACTACCCCACATGAACTGCTTGTCTATGGCATAGGTTTGGGTGTCTTTGGGATACCTGGCCAAAAAAACAAAAAGGTATTATAAACATGAAATTCTACAAGAGAAGAAAAATTGTAGATGCTTGTAAGTGGCCACAAAAAAATCTTTAAAGTGGTCAGAAAACTTGTGTTTTGTTAAATTTGTATGACACTGGTACATTGTAGGACACTGGGTGATGTGTAATCTTTTTATTGATACCTTCTGTAAGTCACATCTCCTATATACAGTACATGTAGCATGATGTATGCCAATTACGTAAGGGAGTGTACATGCATGAACACACTTTATAAACTATATATATATATATATATGGTAATGTATTAAAATACACAGAGATACACATAGTACCTACATATACATGAGTGGCTGCACAACTCCAGTGCCCTCGATGTGACTATGGTAGAACAAAGTATTGAGATATGGCAACAGAGTATATCTGATTACCAGGGCCTCCCTCATCGCATCTTGGGCTCCTGAGCTAAATACTGCTGGATCTTGATCCTTAATACAAGAAAATGCAGAAAATGTTCAAATTTATCACATCAATGTCTGTGACAGTCATAATGGCAGTGCCAATATGGACAGACACAGGTGATCAGAATATTTACAGAGACTCACAGTGTTTACTGTGTGTTTTCACTGCAATATTTCTAATTACTTTTATCCAGACTTATCAATTATTAACCTTCATATTCATTAGACTAAATGGACAGATAAATTTGGATCATTCTACTTTTCCATGCCTTTGTTCCAATAGTATTGTGGTTTCTCATGAAAGGATAAAATGCTCCAACTTGCATCCATCTGGTGCACAGCTCTTCTGTAGTTTCTCCAATAAAACCACATATATCAGATCCAACCTGGGAGATGCCAAACATTTGGAAGTTCAAGATAACTAGAAAGAAAATGACTCAATGAAATAAAAGTCAAAACTATTCATGACAATGGTAAAAGAAAATATTTTAAATGTTTGAACGAAAAGCTGTTTTCATAGTTTTGATATTCTTACCAACACAAAAATACCTTTGTTGGTTGGCTTTCATGATTTAGTAAATAAGGGGAATGACTAACATTGATATTAAGTAATTTCTTCGAATGCTACAAATAATTCTTTTTTATGTCATTAAATAAAATTGCCTTTAGGTAGAATTTTGTTTGTCAAGAAAAATATAATGAACCATATGATGGAGGATGCAGAAAGAGCAGTATTTTAAATCTGATGTCAACAGTCGCTTACATGGAATAGAATAATACAAATGTGACCAAAGTGCTTGGTTATCTCCTGACCAATGACCGCCAAAGTGACCAGTGCCAGGGAAAGATGACCTTGTTATCACTAAGCTACGCTTCTTCCTGATCTTCTGAAGAGCTCTTAATATAGTGAAAATAAGAAAGAAAATCTAATTATTTCTCTATCATACACAGAATGTTAACAGATTCTTCCTGATTTTTGGAAGAGTTCTGAAATATATATAATTAACTTCAATAAAATATGTTTTATAGACAGGATGTTAACTTTGTGCTTTTTAAGGGGGGATAATTCACTTAAAATTGACTATTTTCCAAAACTGGCATCCAGTAACACTTACTTTTGAGTAGCAATGACTTCAAAATGCCCATACATGCTGTGTAGGTTGTAATGAATGGAAAGATTCTGCTGAGCTCCAGGACAAATGGTTTTGGCTGCTAATTTACCATCCAGTATCTTAGGGATGTATGGGGGATTAGTGAGATTGTTGGCCTCACAGCCTGTGGTGGAACCAGCAACAAAGTCAGATGGTTCATTCATGTCCTGGAAATTATAAGTATGATTTCCATTTTTTCCATTCCTCCACATTATTTTAATAATATCTTGTTAGTGTTTTTGATTCATTATCTTTACAGACATGAAATTATACAATAAATCAATATGATTTGGTTGGACTCATTAGAAAGGTTGAGGAATGTCCTGAATTATTTTTGGTATGCTGACTGTGTCATCAAGTAAGTTGTCATAGTATTGTAAATTGGTTGACCAAATACAGTTTCCTTCATTGTAAAACTTGAATGTATGGCATAAATGCATGTTATGTAAAATAACCATTGATAAACACTCTTTTTGGTGTTATTTGCAGTTAATAAGTCTGGATGTGGCACCAGAGGATGTAGTGGCTGAGAATAAGGTTTTTGGACACTCGTCCTTAGGGCAAGTGTTCTCCCAAAGTTACTCCTAAAATAGTTTACTTGCCCAGTAGATATTCTCAAATTCACCTTCTTTCCCCTCCCCACCCAACAACTACAATAAATACTTGCAAAAATTTAACAATACTTCTTCTTCTTCTTATTTAATGTCAGTCAGGTGAAGAAAAATTGGACAACTATAAACTATGTCAAGAAACATAACTTCCGGCAACCATATTGCCATTTTTACGAGCCTGAAGACACCATTCACTTATCTCGGATATCCAGAATTGCCTCATTGTCGACCTCTGTAATAGAAACCAAATTCTTGGGTGCAGAACTACATGCATATATGTAGAGAGATTGTGTCAGGTTTTAACTACTAGAACACAAGTGTCAAAACTTACTGTCCAAAGTCCATCAAATGCCACTCTCTGGTGAAATAAGGATGCCTGGTAGAACCAGTAATCCTGGGTGGCAGGATTTGTGAAATCTGGGTACACCGTCTTTCCTGGCCACACCTAAAGAAATGACATTTTTATCATCATTATTCTAATAGGGATTATTTTAATATTCTTTATACAAAAATGTCAAATATTTATTCGCTGCATTGATTGCCCCTTTCAGAGAAATTTGTATTGAAAGCTTTCTGATATTAATTCAAATAAAATACAGATATGATTTTAATTTCAATGTAGTGCATTTCAAATTCATGATAGAATTAATCTGTCACATAGCAGGCATAAATTTTATATTGCTTTTGCATTGCTCTCATTTTTCTGCTCGTCACAGAGTTCCCACTTAATTTTGAAATTGATGACATTATCCCTGCTTACCACTCCTTCTAGAGGTGCGTTGCCCTTCTCGTTCATGATGAATACCTGCTGCGCCAAGCCGTCTTCATAGGGAGGATAGGTTCCTTTTGGCTGCTGATTGCTGATACCCGGATCCTAATGCAGAAAAGAAGTATTCCAATATGTCAGATATCTTAAAATTGTGTTAGATGAGCGTTTATGTTATCACACATTGAACACAATAATCCCAGAACTCCTCATTTACCAGGAAGCTATTTATGAACACGCAGGGTGAGTTTTGGTCAGCTGAAATTGATTCTAATGTTGACCACAGCAAGAAACAAATGTAAAACATGCACATGGGCCATAAAGGTGCATTTAATATTCTGCATGTATTCTACAAAAAAAAAATCTTTGGCAGGCATGGTGGAAAAAATGCAAAATAACAACGTGTATGTGTTTGTGCAATGAAATATGCACTAAAAAAAATTTTCAAAAACAATTTCCAAATTCTAATTAAAAGTCAGTAAAAGACCCCTAAATCAGGCTATCAGCTTTACCAAAATCCATAATACCAACCCAAAGATTTATGTTGTATCTGAGGACTACTGGCAACAAAAATTTATATGGCAGCTGTGCCAGTTTTTGGCCAATTAAATTAAATGCAACTCCAGCGTCTCTGCTGATGGTCCAAGTAAGCTCTCACCACAATCATAACATAATGCTGTCCATGAGCATGCAGGTCTTGTACTATCCCAGGGAGGTCCCCATACTGCTTGGGGTCATATGTCCAGTCCAGGTGATCTCTCATGTAATCAATATCATTCCACTGAACGTCCTAAGAAACACAATAAAAACAATCCAAGAAAATACTTCCCCACCATACTGGTTGAAACTCTACAATGTAGGTCCAGTAATACATAAAAATTCATTCAAGTAAAACAAAGATTATTGATTAACACTTCATAAAAGATAATTGCATACGAAGACCATTCAGCAAAACACAGTAAAACATCATATAAAAGCAAGTAATAAACACTCCTTACATATGGAAATTTCCCCCTTCTCATCCTCTCAATCACAGTCCTGGTCATATTGCTGCTGTTATAACCCCAGCGACACAAGTGGAACCCAAGACTCCAATATGGCGGCAGATATGGCTTGCCAATCACATCAGTATACTGCTGCACTACATCTTGAGGAGAAGGACCCAGGAAAATATAGAAATCTAATATTCCGCCAGTTGTTCTGTATATTATGGAAGGGGTTGGTTGGAGAGATACACCTTAAGAGAAAGTGAAAGTGTTTTTAAATAAACAAAAGAATTTTAAAATAGTCCATAATAAAACAATAGCATCACATTATCAGCAACATTTCTCGATGCAAATTGATAAACAAATATTGTACCTTTTAAGTAAAAACTTTTCCTTAAATCCAGACTTACTCATTGCATTACTATTGAGCAAAAAGACTCCATGGGCCTGACCATCCTTCTCTATATTCAAATAAAATGGATGATCTCCATACAGATTCACATCATTCTGTGAAATAAATAAATAGATAAATAAATAGTTTACAACTGGAAATTATGTTATGAATAATATTATTTCTTCTGTTCTACAGGAACGATAATTAAACCCATCAATATAGTGAATCAAATGCTTTAACAGTATAAAATCATTTTCAGGATGGCTGAAATGTCCTTCCTCCTGATTATTTTGTGTACGCAACAAATTTTTCAACAATGTCAGGTTAAAGATTTTTGTATGACTTCATCACATTCAATGTCCTGATTCTAAAGTGTGTGTGTGTGTGTGTGTGTGTGTGTGTGTGTGTGTGTGTGTGAACACAATGGAAAACAACTTGCCATAGGTGGTACATCACGTGCCCAGAAGGCCATCTGAGCCCAAGAGATATTTTTCAGAAAGGTTCCCTGGTGTTCCCCCAAACCATACAGATATGGAGAGCTGAGTTCACTTGCAATCTGAAGGAACTGGTTGGCAAAGATGAGAGGAGCAGAGACATTGCTGTTAAATCTGAAACATATTTCATTTACAAAATAAACTTTACTGCACTGAGTACTGAAAATGCACACAAAAAAATCCATACATATTGTCATTAAACATGTGTTGAAAACCACCACATTTCTAGAAATGCTGGCATTCCTAATATGAACATGCACTTGGTTTTTTTTTATTTATTTCATGCATTATGTAATGTGTATGAAGTGAACTGGAAAAAAGGAAGTTTGATTTAATCTGGCAAAGCTACTTGAAAAAAAAAAAACAAAGATGACTTTCAACAGAAAGAACAGAAACAGAATGTGCAAACCATATTTTGTTGACAAAAAGTGAACATGCAGAGTCAAAATTTGCTGAATTAAGAACCAGATGTTATAGATGTTGAGAAAGAGGAAAGTCAGGGTTAGGTAAAGATCAATGCTATTCCTCTTAAATTTGTTTCAACCTTACATTACTGCTCCTGAAGATTTCCTGGAGACAGTGATTCCAAATGGGTCAGGATGAATTTTTATTGCATAATCCATATCTGCAGCCTTTGTGCTGACCTTTGGAGTAGAGATGGGCACTTCATATCTCCTTCTAAATGGGTCATATATCTAAAAGATATAAATTATCATCAAAATTAATCCCTAGATACAACAAAATCAAAATAAACAATTTGTTATGACAGATATTTGACAAACTTCCACATAAGGATTATTAAATAATACATGTAGTTTCTCAATAGCAGCAATAATGATTACTTTGTAAAAAGATGCAGTTTTTCATCTAAAAATAAAAATCTTCCATATCTATTTATCTCTCCATCAGTGTATCTACCTATCAATCAATCATCAGTGCCTGATAAGGAGCTGGTATTCACGGTACCTAAATCTGGGGCAATATGTGCCCTTAATTCAACATGTGCATGGAGAAAACATAAGCTGTAATAAATAATCATCAATGCATCAACTGAAAGATTTTTTTACACTGTAAGTTTTAAATTTCAATAAATTGTTTTCTATAAATATAAAAAGACTGATAAAATGGAACGAAATATAATTTAAAAAATTAAATAAACAACGTACCCTTCCTCTTTTGCAAAAGTTTAAGCTGTGATTTTATGCATTCAAAGCCAGGAATTTACCACCAAAAATGAACATTAAACTTATTTCCTGGGGCAAACGGCATTTCCCCCCACCCAACTAACCAACCCTTAATCTTCATTTTCTGACACTTGTTTTAACTGTCCTCAGATTGGTTCATGCACTTAGAATGCGTTCAAAATCTTGGCTTGGATTTCTTTTAGTATATTCTAAGATCTAATAAATATTAGATCTTAGGTATATTCCATAAATTCAGATCACCCACCTTAAAATGTAACCTTGATTTTGTTTCAAACCGTACATCCAGCTGAAGTGTCATCACATTATCGGGCCAGCTAGTTTTACTACCAAGGTTAAGCATATATGTCTCCCCAAAAGCCGTGGAAGCAGACTTGACCACTCTGTAGCCAGGGGAATCAGAAGGGTAAAAGCAATAAGGCGCCCCTGGGGTCTTAGTTATGGCCCAACAACATCCTCTGAGGACACACTTCTGCTGAGTTGCGCCGTCTTCTGGTAGGCAATCGTAGCGATCATTCTCAAGGGCAATGTTACACTGCATTGATGTTATACCAATCCCAAAAGAGATTGTCATGACAAAAACACAAAAATACTGCAAAATAGCATCCATGATTTTCTTCAACGAAGTCGGTAGCAGTACCTAGTCTTTTGAAATACCTGCAGAGCCACGTGAAAGTGTAGGTCAAAACTGATTGTACTCGGATTTATACATGATATCGAAAGTGATAATCCCCCTCACTGTAGTTAAACTCATAATCACATGGACCAACAACCGCATCCGTGTTTATAAGCCTTTTACACTGCTGCCCTCTGTGCAAGACGTGACAGCACCTGTGAACACAATCGACTCAACTAACACAATGACACAGACGAGTAACTCCTTTCGTTTTGGAAATAATTCATTTTCACATACCGACAGCAATTTATGTAATCATGTCAAAAAAAAAATCATCTCTACAAGTTATACTACATACACATTATCTTTTCTACAAGAAAGTAACCTTCACTAAATTGTTGTATTTTACAATCATCACTCATTCCATTAAATAAACAAATAAATAAAAACAAAAATTTGTCTTGATGTCTATAACTTACTGTCAAAAATAAGCACTTTATTTCAGGAAGAATTTACAAATAAGATATTTTTAAGTTAACAAACACTTCCTTGTCCTTCTTCAAATTCTCTCCAACTTTTTAATAAATATCTTCCAAACATTTCAAGATTGTAGGACTATTATATTCCGTACTTGATAAGGCAATAATCAACAACTTAAAAATCAGCAAAAGCACAGGGTAAATAATATAAATTATTGGATGTATAAATGACAAAGTTTGTCACAAAAAAAAAAAAATTAAATAAATAAAAATAAAAAAATAAAAAAAAGTGTGCACAGACACCAAGACCATTTTTGTAGTCCAGTGCACAAAAAGAAATGTGGACACAAAATCACAATACAATGAAGGATTTCCATGTTAACATTATGTTGTCATTAAAAATTGAAACTTTGTATTATAATAGAAGAAAAATCACATTGAAGTGTATGAACATAAATTTATGTGTGAAATAGCAGGCATGCTGATATAAGAAGCATGATGGTAAGGTAGACTTACACTCAAATAGGTCAAGTTTATATAGACCAGGTTAGCTCATTACTGACAATGCCAGTTTGAATGCAAAATTGTTATTGCATGCTTTAATCCATTTTTGTACATTAGCAGGTGCCCCTCCAGCTTGTCCAGTCTGTTGTAAAGCTGACCACACCACTATATCAGCCAAACTCAAGTCTGATCCAACCAACCAACTAGAACTTCCTAACTTTGAATTTAATCCTCTTAAAGCTGCTGCCTTTTCCTTGCTGTTTCCATGCAACAACTGGTTGGTTGCTATATCAACAAATACATCAATTTCTGTCGCTGTAATTGGGTCCACACTATCATAGCCTGGGCTAAGTAAACGTGCCAGGTATCTAGCCATGTTACCTTCCCCTTGGACAGGACTCTGCTTGTGAGGATTCACCATCAGTTCTGGGCCATGGTTTACTGAAAAAAATTACATTTCCAACATAAGAATTTTTCAAAAAAAAAAAATTACTACAAAATTTACGGATCAAAATTTACTTGACACATAGAGTAACAAGCATACCAGTTTATAAATGCCTGTAGAGATTTTTTCATGCATTAACAGCAGTGCCAGAACCTTCTATTACCATTTTTCCATATCAAAGTGATGGCCAGTTGATAGTCTCTCCTATTGGATTGGAAACCATTTTGAAAAACCTTCAAGTTTTCTGGTACAGAGGTCACAGAAGAGTGGACATGCATGCTGCCTACTGTTCTTAACTGTTGTTGTAGAAGTTGATATAAAACAAACAGTGAAAGCGGTGGAGAGCTAGGGTTGGCTGTGATGACCACATCTTCTATTATCTCATCAATCTGAAAATATTTTCAAAACTTGATCAACAAATGAAAAGCTAAAAACTTTTTAATTTTATACATGCCATTAATAAACAATGGTAAATAAAAATTATTTTTCTTATTAACTTACATACACCTGATTATCATAAAACTTTCAGCATTCTTTTATCTCATAAAAAGTTATTCTTAGCAATATAATTGATAACACTTGACACAACATTGTGGTCAGTCCCTATTTCAGTTTTCTTACCACAGCTCCAGAGGTAGATTCTCTTTTCTGTGACAATGTAGGTGGGCATGAGTTTGACAATTTCTGTACTTCTTTTTGCAGCTCTGAAAGTTTGGCAAGAATTGCCTCCTGTCGTTTCTCAAGTGCATCTATATCATATCCTGTAGAACCATCAGGCTATGTAAAGTAAAAGAAAAAAACATAATGGCATATATATCCAATGATCTAATGGATGGTGTTGCTTCCTTAAAAACTAAGTTAGCATATCTTAAGTTTTGTATGCAAGACACAAATAATTAAGCATAATATATTAATAGACAAAAAATTCTGGGAGAGTGATTAGCAATATTTGATGTTTCAGAAACATTATTTCAACTAGATAGAATGCACACAATTGCATATTACGTATCAGCAAGAAAATTCATGTGTTTTTATGATAATGAGGTATATTTAATGTGCAACTAGCAGAGGATACACTGATCAATAACATTCCATTGTGACCAATATGAATAGTCAGTCAGGTACCAGAAGTGGTTCATTTTTTATAGATAATGTTAATTATAATAATTAATTAGTAAATTAATTGTGCCTAAGGTAATATACTAATGTGATGATGAAATACCAAGTTTAAATTTACTTTTTTATGACAATCAATCTTAAGTATACCGTTCGACCACATGCACTGCTTAAAAACCAGTCTCATGCTTGCGCTAAAACGCAAAGCAAAGAAGAGAAAAACACCCTCCCCATTTTATTTACTGTCGGCTACTTGTACTTTGTAAACGTGTCTTGGTCCATATCAATGACCATTGCGATAAGTAAGGCGAGGAGGGAAACATTTTCATAACATGTCAAATAACAAAAGTTTAGTTACCTTTTTAACATCTTCACTACCATAAAAACTTTTCATTTTGTACATGACATCCGGCAATACGATGTTATCATCTGTATAAAAAGGCTTCAAACTATACATTGTTGAAGACGGTCCTGAAGTACTTGCCATGCTGCCTTGTTGAGGTGAAATTGCCATAGATGGCAGCGATAGGATCTTTATGGGGAATACCTTGCGCCACCTATCGAAACTTTTGGAAGTTTCAACAAATTTGGCGCAGTTACAGGCTCGGTGATTGGTCAATTTCAACCAACACTGGATTTAGAAGTGTGGTTTACATGCCAAGAAAATTATCTGAAAAAAAGTGTAAATTGTAGTAACTGCTTAACTCTATATTTTCTAATTTTTTGCATTGTATGTTGTTTGCAAAAAATAAATGAAGGTCGAAAACAGACACTCGCATCACAGAAACAAGCCACATAGTCGAATCGAACTTGCTAGCCAATCATTTCACTGGTAACAGTGCAAATTTGTCGCCGATTTTGGGCTTCGAGACTTTGACTTCATTTTACCGCTCAAAAGGTGGATATTTGGAACTTTTTACAAGGCCAGAAGAATCAGGAGGGTTGATTCTTGGCTGATAGATATTGCATATGGTCACCATCAGTATGATTGCCACTAGGTGATTTCTCAACGTGCCTGAGCTCCGCAACCTTCGGGTCAACTTTCAGTCACGTGACTTGATTTAGGTAAAATGGCGGCCTCCAAAAATGTTCAACATGGACACTATAAATAAGCCGCTTGGTAACAAGTGACAGCTACAAGTAGGTAAGCATGTTCTTGATATGTTAGAGACATCGTAGGAACAGTTCCAAGCCGAAATAATGTCGTCCAGGGGGAAGCGAGGTCGAGGTCGACCGCCAAGAAATCCTTTGTCAGGGAAATCCCATTTTCTCAAAACCCCAAAGCGCCAAGCTCAAATAGTCGACCGCAGCTCCAGGGCCAGCACACCGGCAAGCAGTATCTCTGGACGGGGTGGCAGGGAACGGGATGCACGAACCAAGTCTCGCAGTTTTATACGGGCAGCATTAGATGAGGACGATTTTGACAGCAGAGATTCTTTTAACGACTCGGAGGCTGATCTATCGGACCACAGTGATCTTGATAGTGAGATACCTTTGGCTTTGGAAGATGACTCTGAATTCGAGTTAGATGAATCTGTTTGTAGTGATGAAGAGTTGGAAACAACACAGACCAAACCCAGGGTGTACAGACCTCGTCCTAAAAGCCCAGAATTTGTTGAAGATGAAACAGTCATTCCTCCTCTCATCCTACCTACCAGTTCTACTGATTTAATGATGCCAAGTGAACATTTAATGAAAACGTTAAGTATATATGAGGTGCTGCACAGGTTCAGAGTAATTCTGCGTCTCACACCATTTACACTAGAAGATTTCATTGCAGCACTTGTAAGTGATGAACAGTGCTGCCTTTTAGCAGAAATTCACATAGCTTTATTACGCTCTCTTTTACGAGAAGAAGATGGCAATAACACAACATTTGGACCACATGATGTAAAAGATAGTATAAATATTCAACTATTTTTTCTTGATGGCATGACTTGGCCAGAGTTGATTCGAGCATATTTGGATAGTGACCTTCATCAAGAGTACAGGGCAGTGATGCCCGCCTTGGAGAAACCTGGATATCCATTTGTCGGAGTTGCAGATAAACTCCAAGTGCTGACAGCTTTGACCGACTTATACCTTGGTTCAAATGCAGTAAGAGAAGATCTGATGAATGAAGGAAATGTTGCATATGATGATCATTGCAGGGCTTGCCACAAGTGAGTTCACAATATTTATCTATTTGGACATTGATTGATTGATTGATTTTTTTTAACAGAGTCTCTAGGACACCTTATATCTTCTGTATGTTTTAGTGATATTTTATTAAGCTTTTATAAAATACAGTCGGGTGTAAAACTGTATGTATCACATGTATACATGTAGGTTCAATTTTATCAAAATACCATCTAAAAATCAAATAATAAAGCTTTGATAGAAATCTTTTCTAATCATTTAACTTTATATTTCAAATTATTCCAAAAATAATTTTTTTAACATTGATACTTTATATCATAGACTTGGTGACCTACTGTGCTGCGAAACCTGTTCAGCTGTGTACCACCTTGGCTGTGTTGACCCCCCGTTGGAGGAAGTCCCTGATGATGACTGGGTGTGCACTGTGTGCCAAGGAAACCAGGTAAGGAAGTAGAGTACTCAGTAAATGAGTAAAAGTAAATGGTGGATCATATGTACATTTAGCAGTGACAGACCATCCTTTTTTCTATTCTTTTTTTAAATCTTTTATTTACATAAGCAGAAAGATGAAATATTTTAATTGGGACATAAAAGCTGTGGTATTTCCATTTTTTTCTCCCTTTATTGTGTGCATGTGTAATACAGAGTAGGTGCATCATTTGGCCATGGATCCATGAAATTAGTGCAAAGTGTCTCATACCTAGGAATTATGCAGAAGTCCTGTGCTGTGATTTATATATTATCAAACTTCACAATGGCATGCATGAACAGGGTTGAGCAGAGGAGACATTGTAGTACAATGTGCTGCTTAGTAATGCTCCTGCATCCCTCTCTTTGATTGGCCGACACAGGTTGCTTTCTTTTTTATGTATATTTTTGGCAGAAATAAAACTCAAAAGTGTGATGTTTGAAATGACTCAATGAACTGATTATCTTGTGGCTCTGGTTTTTAGGTAAAAGGGGTGACGGATTGTATCTCAGAACTTGAAAAAAGTGCATTACCGAGCAGACATGACCCAATTGGATACGACAGGCATCGTAGAAAATACTGGTTTATGTGCAGGAGACTTATAGTGTGAGTAGTACAAAAATACAGTAATTTTAGGTGTGTTATGTGGATTAATAATCAAAAAGCATATTTACTGGCATTACATTATTATTTTTAAAATTTATTTTATTTTATTTATTTATTTTTTTTTTGGGGGGGGGGGGTGTAGGAGGCTACCAGGGTACAATAAATTTAAGTGAAAAGAACAAATATATTAGAATTATACATTTTACTTTAAAAGAACGGCTATCTGGCCTCCTCAATGCATCATCACTATACAGCTCCAAATGGAAAATATGGTATCAAAATGTTTTAAAGTCTGCCTAGTTTTGCCTAAGCTAAGTGAACAGTTAAATACGTAACATTTGTTGGATTTCAAGTTATGTAAAGGGGCAACATTTGAGCAGGATTATTAGTATTTAAGGATGCAGCATGCCTTTTAGCCAAGGGCACAATCTGTCTACTAAGGGAAATAAAAGGAAGGTTTTTAGACAAAAAAAATCCCATTGACATTCCTTTAGAGAATTATGTGTACATTTTTCCAGGGAAGATGACAATGAAGTATGGTACTACAGCAGTACTCAAGCCTTAGCTGAGTTACTGGAGTGCCTGGATCACTCCTACTGGGAAAGACATTTGGTTAATGCAATAATGGAATTGGATGATATCAAGAGACAAATCCAGATTACTGATGAATTGACCAATGCCCACAAAGGGTCAAGAAAGTCAGCACTTGAGGAAGAGACTAGTAAGTAACATAGCATAATACTTTTTTGCACTATTTTCAATTTAGTACATTTATAATATGTCCTGCAGTCTTGATCAGTTTTATTAATTAAATGGATTCAACTTAATTTTTCAACTTGTTACAATTTTAGGTGGATTTTAATCTATCATAGTAATTTTTAAAGGTGAGATTGAAAGAACTTTTAGATATAAAAGCAAATCAGTAGCAATTTTTTCTTTGATTTTCTCTCTTTGATTCTTTCATTCAGCAAATCTGATCAAACTCCAAACAGAGAGAGCAGCAAAGAAAGCCAGAGAGGAAGAAGAAAGGAAGCGCTTGGAAGAAGAAAAGAAACTGGAAGCAGAGAGGAAGAGAATTGAGGAAGAAGAGAGAAGACTAAGAGGAGAAGAGACAGGGGTTCAGTTAGGCCCAGGTTGGTCTGTATCCCAGGATAGCACAGTGAGTGGCATCAGCACAGAGGGGTTGACAAAACCAGATGGTACCCCAGTGGGAGAAACCAGAGCTCCTGGGGAAATGCAGCAAAGTACAAATACAGAGGAAGTTTTGCAGGAGCAGGTAGTAGTGTCATTTAAGCTTGGTAGTTTATTATGACATGTTTGCGTATTTTTACTTACATCAAATATGCAGTACAGAAAAAGAGTATTGCCTTGGCTTGTTAACATGGATGAATACCAATGAATAAATCTTCTGTTTTTAGTACTTGAAAGTGATTGTGAGGCACCCAAAGTGGTTTTAACTGTTCTTTTCTTTTTATTATGTACAGACACAGATGTGTCTGTANCAGTGTAGGAGGCTACCAGGGTACCATTAATTTAAGTGAAAAGAACAAATATATTAAAATTATACATTTTACTTTAAAAGAACAGCTATCTGGCCTCCTCAATGCATCATCACTATACAGCTCCAAATGGAAAATATGGTATCAAAATGTTTTAAAGTCTGCCTAATTTTGCCTAAGCTAAGTGAACAGTTAAATACGTAACATTTGTTGGATTTCATGTTATGTATTGTAAAGGGGCAACATTTGAGCAGGATTATTAACAGCATTAGTATTTAAGGATGCAGCATGCCTTTTAGCCAAGTGCACAATCTGTCTACTAAGGGAAATAAAAGGAAGGTTTTTAGACAAAAAAAATCCCATTGACATTCCTTTAGAGAATTATGTGTACATTTTTCCAGGGAAGATGACAATGAAGTATGGTACTACAGCAGTACTCAAGCCTTAGCTGAGTTACTGGAGTGCCTGGATCACTCCTACTGGGAAAGACATTTGGTTAATGCAATAATGGAATTGGATGATATCAAGAGACAAATCCAGATTACTGATGAATTGACCAATGCCCACAAAGGGTCAAGAAAGTCAGCACTTGAGGAAGAGACTAGTAAGTAACATAGCATAATACTTTTTTGCACTATTTTCAATTTAGTACATTTATAATATGTCCTGCAGTCTTGGTCAGTTTTTTTAATTAAATGGATTCGACTTAATTTTTCAACTTGTTACAATTTTAGGTGGATTTTAATCTATCATAGTAATTTTTAAAGGTGAGATTGAAAGAACTTTAAGATATAAAAGCAAATCAGTAGCAATTTTTTCTTTGATTTTCTCTCTTTGATTCTTTCATTCAGCAAATCTGATCAAACTCCAAACAGAGAGAGCAGCAAAGAAAGCCAGAGAGGAAGAAGAAAGGAAGCGCTTGGAAGAAGAAAAGAAACTGGAAGAAGAGAGGAAGAGAATTGAGGAAGAAGAGAGAAGACTAAGAGGAGAAGAGACAGGGGTTCAGTTAGGCCCAGGTTGGTCTGTATCCCAGGATAGCACAGTGAGTGGCATCAGCACAGAGGGGTTGACAAAACCAGATGGTACCCCAGTGGGAGAAACCAGAGCTCCTGGAGAAATGCAGCAAAGTACAAATACAGAGGAAGTTTTGCAGGAGCAGGTAGTAGTGTCATTTAAGCTTGGTAGTTTATTATGATATGTTTGCTTATTTTTACTTACATCAAATATGCAGTACAGAAAAAGAGTATTGCCTTGGCTTGTTAACATGGATGAATAACAGTGAATAAATCTTCTGTTTTTAGCACTTGAAAGTGATTGTGAGGCACCTAAAGTGGTTTTAACTGTTCTTTTCTTTTTATATGGCAATCTGGTTCCCTTTTTATTAGTGATAGAGAAAAGTTTCTTATATTATAAACCCTGGGTTTGCTAATTTCAAGGAAAATTAGATAACTTTTGCACCAGAGCTAGCTTCTAACACCTGACTGTTCTTTTACAGCATACACTGACAACTGGGACGAGTACAGAAATAGCCACCAGCACCACTAACACCAGGTCTGTCAATGAAGATGGTGTTGAAGAGAAGATCATGGAGGTAGAAGTCACCACTACCACCACCACAGTGACCACAGCTACCACTACAGTGAAAATGACCACCATTGAGACGGGGGCAGGGGACGCTTCTGCTGAACAGGAGAAAACAGGTGATGTTTAATGCATTTTGCATGCACATGCACACATACTTGGCACATATCTTAAAATGCTTGCCTTTAAGAAAAAAAGGTAACATTCTTTGACTGGTATGTTTATTTAAGTCTTGAATGTGATCATTTAAGAGAAATTTCAACTTTGTAGTGTAGAAGCTCTCAGTAGACAGTTATATTATCATAAACATTCATTACTTTGTTTTTATTTTCAGTTTAAGGTCACACTCATCATAAAAGATACTAATTTGTTTCTGTTAGCCTTGCTTACATTTCAAAGGATTTGATAAGGCAGTTTGCATTAACAAAACATCTGATAAATAGATTATCTTACAGCCTGAAAACCGAATGATAAAATTTTTGTGCACTACTTTTAGACGTAGAGAAGAAAGAGCCTCCCAGTAGCAATACTAGCCCTAATGAGAGTGCTAGCGCCAGTGGAGACAGCGAGATGAAGACCCAGGGTGAGGACACAGAAGCTGTGAAACCCAAAGTGGTCAGTCTCCAAAGCACCTTTCCCAATGCTAAGGCCACTGTGCTGGACACTGGTGGACAGACACAGGGAAATGGTAATTTTTTTTTTTAGAATTACAGTTAAGGCAATGAAAATTGTTTGTGTTTAAAATGTAGAAATTGCCAAGAAAATAAAGATTTTAGTTATGGCCACTTTTTGGTGAAAATTTAGCGTTTAAAGCCAATGATTGTACCTAGTAGTGTATAAAAATAATTTAAAAATTGTGTAACATTGGATAAAGATGTGTAATTGTATATGAACCAGATACAAACCAGTCTCCCAAGGCCCAGAGTAACACCAAGATTGTGATGATTGGTAAGGATGGGAAACAGATGACCATCACCCTGCAGGGCCCTCCTCCCAAGAATCTGCCCCCAGGGACCACTGTGGTCAACTCTACGTCCAGTGTGGTCAAGGGGGCGGTCACAAACACTGAAGAAGGTATGCACATAAAATTTATTTATTTACTTATTTATTTTTTTTTATTATTTTTTTTTTTAATCTTCAAAACAGATTTTTTGAGTATTCAAACTTGGATAGTTCATATATTAAATTAAAACATTTGTATCATGAATTTATTTGTCCAATACAAATTTAATAGATTGTAGAAGTATATCATAAAAATCTTTTGGTTTTGTGATTTGTAGGGTTTAAATTGTTCTGAAACCTAAAATTTTCTATTAAAATTACAAACTTGCTTTGATTTGTGTTGTCAATTAGCATCTGCAGAAAGCAGAAAAATGGTGACACGTTCTAGAACAGGATCGTTGACTCCCAAGCAGTTCACTGACTCCATCACCTCCACCACGGCCAGTGTGAAGATGACCAGCGTCCGTTCCCTGCAGCAGTCCAATGAGGACAGTGTTTTGGTCATCAACAAGGATGGACAGATATCCAAAGTGGGCAAATCTCAGTCGTCTGTGGTTCAGCAGCAGAATGTGTTGTTTAAATTAGGTGTGTTGGTTATAACGATAAAATTTTTGAAGGTCATTCAGTGAAGTGCTTGAGTTTTCATAATTTTTCATACAAAATTCGTTACTTTTGTCTTTTATGTTGCATTTGAAAACGCATGCAGTCATGCACACACACTTTCTGTTTATTGTGTTTTTTTTTTTTTTTTTTTAAAGAACGTGTCACATTCAAACAAATTTAAAAAAATGATATTCCTCTAAAGTTTTTAATCCTTTTTTTTTTTAATGGTAGCTAAATAAGTTTTGGGCATTTTGTTTCAGGAATGGAAGGGAATTATAAGATGTATGTGAACCAGTACACAACCAATGATCTTGCCTTAAACAAACATCAGCATGCAGAGGAGAGAGACAAGAAAAGATGGCTGTCTCACAAATTTAGTCTCACGCCAGTCAGTGAATTCAAGTGGAATGGGACCATTTATGGTTGGTGTTTTTTTTTTGTAACAGATCTATGTTATATGTATTAAGCACATGAAAAAGTATGATTAATTAGTACTCAGTGATGTACTGCTTTTTTTTTTTGCAGATTTCATGATAAAAAACACCTTTTTCCATTTTCTTGGATATTGCAAAATCAGAAATATTGCAGAGGGTAAAATGCTGATGATAATTGGTGCTCATCTAAAAAAGGGCTTTATCTTCACTTGCTACAGATGATAAGTTAGTTGCTTTTCTATGACTATGTTGCTTCTTCTGAAAGAGGACTTAGTAGGTCACTAACAGTTTCACTGAGCAGTGCTGTAATCGGGATAAATTTAAGATAAAGCAATCCATGTTATTACCTTATTTTCCAGGCAACCGTACCTTGATTGTATCAACACTGCGCCTCAGCATTACCCAGCTTGAGCAGAACATCCCGTCAGCCTTCCTCCATCCCAACTGGCCATACCACAGACAGAGCTGGGTGAAGGCAGTCCACATGTGCCAAAGTGCTCAGGATTTCTCCCTGGCACTGGCAATATTTGAAGCTTGTATCAAACCAGTAGTATTTCTGCCAGTTTGGAGTGAGGCTTTAGGTAAATCTGCACTATTGCTTGTTTTGTTACTAAGTAGAACAGTTTGTCACCCTTAATAGGTCTTTAACTCTAGAGAACTACTGTAGTATGAAAAGAAAAGATATTTCAAAAACTTAACTGACTTTACTGGATATTTTAAACAAAATTTTAATGTTTTTTCAAGTAATGCAGCTTTTTTATGTTAGAGAGGCTCAGGGTGGTAGAGTTTTATAGCAAATAGCGGGAATTCAGAAATATATAGCTCTTCAAGCTTACAGTGCATGTAAAGCAGGAAATTCAGAAATATTTTTGTTCCATCCCTTTTAGGTCATGTAAGAATGCAAAGGATAACTGCTGCTGATAAAGAAGAATTGAAAAAGAGAGAAAAGGAATTGAGGAAACAGAAGAAGGATGAAGATGAAGATTGGAATGATAGGTCAACTTGGGTCAAATACACCCTAGGGCTAAAGCACCAGGTGTCTCTCTCTCACACATTGCTTTGATTTTCAAAGGCCATTGTATTATTGTCTTTCAGTCTGTTGATTGCAATGAAAATAAATATGAAAATGATATTTGTGAGCATAAAAGTCAATTGGAATTCAGTGCATTTCAAGAAGTCCCATCAACTGCATTACAACTGTTAGAAAGGATTCAGTAATTCTGCAGTGATTACCAGTATTTACATCAATCAATTAGTTACTTTCATAGCTTTTGTTCTGAAATGTTTAATTGTCTGTCAAGTCAACTGCCTCAGGTAAAGGGATCAAAGTTGATATATACTCTACCTAAGTTGACATTTTCATTATATTTCCTGGTATTTTCAGGTCTGGAAACAAAAAGGTGAGGAGTACAGGATCTATGGGGGCAGTGGCTGGTTATGGCTGAGTGCAGCAAGGACCTATCACTATGTTCCTCAGGGGACGGTGGGGCTGAGGGGCGTGGTCAACAAGCTGAGGAGACGTTGGAAGGAAAAATGTGCTGAGGAACAATCTACTGACTTTGCCAAGTCAGATTTGGCTTCAGATGCTCCAGAGGTGAAAGAGGGAGAAGGACAGGGTGAAGAAAAAATGGATGTAGATGAACAATCTGAAGAAAAAGAAAAGAAAGATGAAGCACCAAAGGGAGAGAAATCTATGAATGAGGAAGTGAAAGAAGAGGAGAAAAAAATGGAAGTGGACAATGATGGTGAGAAAGAGTCAAATGAAGACCAGAAAGTGGAAAAGACAAATGCAGAAAAAGAAAGTGAGCCAAAGACGGATAAGAAGAAGGCAGAAGTGAAATCTAAAAGCTCTCCAGGCAAGTCCAAGTTAGAGCAGGCAAAGTTTGATGAGGAAGCAAGACTGAAAGCTGAGGCAGAGGGCATGAGGACAGACTTGATTGATGTGTCAAAGTCATTGCTGGAAAGGACTTTTTATCCTAAACTTACCAAACCTGCTGCTAAACTAGATATTTTCCTTGAGCGCCGTGTCAAGCAAGATGAATGGGAGAAGAAGCAAAGAAGAGCTTTGGAGCATTTGATTACTAAACACAATGAGGTGGAGAAACAAAAACTTGCTGCCAAAGAGGCAGGGAAGAAAGGTTCATTGAAGAATGAGAATGAAGACAAAATATATCAGTGCTACTCTTCTGTCTGCAGGAAAGAGAAGGGCTCAAACACACCATGTTTCTCCATTACTTGTCAGATGAGTACCAACATCAAAAAGGAACCAACAGATGTAGAAATGAAAGACGTTAAAAGTGAGCCAACTGAGCAAAAAGTTGGTACGAAAGATGAAAAACCAGTTGTTTTGAATGGAGAAATTGGGAGTGATGGAAGTGACAGCAAAATAAGTTCTTCCGATAGAAAGACTGAGAAAGGAGAAGATGAGGACGAAGATGTTGATGTGGAAGCAGTGAAAGAGGAGGGGATGGAAGAGGCCAACAAAGATGCAGATTCAAAGACCTCTGGCTTCATGAACTCATTTTTGTCTTTTGTTCAAAAGGACAGCACCAAAGGAGAAAAACCTGAGGGAAAAGAACAAGAGAAGGACACTGAAAGTGCAAAACAGGATCAGGCCTCTACTAGTGGGGAAGGTAACTTGAAATCAGAGACAAAAGTTGCTGTCAAATCCTCTCCTCAGTCTGGTGTCACTCTCACAGGTCTTGCCAACACACTGTCCTCTGAGAAACTCAAGGAGATTGCCTCCAAAATGCCCAAGGTACGTGGCACCAATGAAAAAGTCTACTTGCCCAAATTTATCAGATTACATGGTAAGAAAGCTAAGAATACAAAGAAACTTAATCTCCCAGGGTGTCAGAAGTTCAGCACTAAGAGTGGAAAACGAAGCGTATTTATTCTGGAAAACCATGATCTGAAGAGGCTGTCTCGTAAGGCTGGGATGGTTGAAGCTAAAGGTTTCAATTACAATTGTAAAATGAACAATGTGAATTGGATCTATCCATGTCCTCGGCCTTTGTTCAAGACAGCATGGCGTTACAGGACCCAGACAGCAGTCTCCCTGGCATCAGCCTGTGTCCAACTGCGTGTTATTTGGGCTTGCATACGCTGGGATGACATGTCTGTTAAACCGCCACAAGGGGGCACTAATACTGTCACCACAGACAGCGAGATTATAACCACCGAGTTACTGAAGAGAAGAGATATTGGTCATTCTGGTCTGCAGTCTGAATTTTTGGTCAGGAAGATCATTGTTCCCATAGGACTGCCTAGTCAGCCCAAAGGTCAGTTGCCTATTTATTTATTTTTCTATCAAAGATAAGTGTATTTTAAGTGAATCAAAAATTCTACTGTCATTATTATAAATTAAAATAGTGTATGGGGTGGGGCTATTTTGACATGTTAGACTGCATAAATGTTTTGATGTAAAATCTATGAATATATACTATTATAAAAGTGTTTTTACAAATCGTGGAGTATTTGACATAAGTGCTAATTGTAGTTGGTCTCTTGCTGATTTTTTGTAGAGAAATATACTCCTCAGCGTAAAGGATTACGTGAACGTCGTCGAGCAGAATCTCCAAAGATCACAGAGCCATGCGTGAACGAAACCTGGACGCCAGAGGAACAACTGGAACTCTGGGAGATAAAGCAGTTTGGAGAAAAGTAAGCAGTTTGTTATGTACATACATATAAGAACAAGATATGAGCTCTCTGTATCACGACAACTATGGCTTCTTAGGATTGTAAGAACTTGCACATTTGTGAAAATTTCAAAAAATTAATTTTACAAGAACATACAGACATCCATAATGGAAAGAATCAGTTTCATGAGAGATGCATGCATAGATTATTTAGCAACTGTATCCTTACTATTTTAATCATCAGAATTTTGGTTTGTTTGTTTGTTTCTTAAGATTTGCCCAAAACTGCAAAAACTTAATTCTAGCTTATATGTCCAACACAACATTTTCTTATATTTATTCCTTTATTTTTATTTTATAATCATCATTTAGAATACAGAATACAAAGAAAAATATGTAATTTATTCTCAGTTTTCAAACAAATTTTTTATCCAACTTCCAGAGTGGAGCGCCAGAAGCAGGTAATCCAGCAGAAGTTGGTCCAGGTGACTACCCAGCAGGCACAGCAGCAGCAGTTAACCCAGACCCCAATTAAACCCAACAATGATGCTGCACATATACGAGCACAGCTAGAGAAGCAACTCAAGGAACAGAGGACAGCTTTCCAGCAGAAAAAACTTGAGGAACAGGCCAGGAGTAAAACCGGCAGTGTCTCTGTCTCTGCTGCCCCATCGTCTATTATTTCTGCTCTTGGAGGGTCTTCTACTACAGCGGCGGGGGCACCTGCTTTTAAGACGATTGTCGTAAAGCCTCCAGGTGGAGCCACTACTGTGACGACTCCCTCAAGTCAGCAGAGACTGATCCTCACACAGAAGGGAGGAGAAGCCGTGGGGTCAAGTAAGTTCACTTACAAAATATGTTGTAGAACAAAGGTGTTGGAGTATAAAATTTGTGTGAATTTGTGATTAAAAATAAAATATGACAGTTAAACAGTAAAATAATTCATAAAAAAGTTTGTGGTTCTTTAAATGTTTACTGACATGATTGCTTTAAGAATTTGTTTTTTAGTCTTGAATACATCTAAAAGCGTCATGAAATACTCGTATCAAGAGTTGAAATCTTGTTGATCTATTGTGATTTCATAAAGAGATGTTTTTTTTAATGACTACTGTGTTGCTACACACTTACTAGTATATTACTTTCCCTATCAGTCCCCCCATTGAGTGGACAGAGAGTGGGCAGAGTGGCCACATTACAGCTGCCAGGGACCACCATCACTGTGAGGCCTAAAAATACACTTACTATATCTCGACCAGCTACAGGGACTACCGCTACACAGAGCACACCAACCCGCCTTATAGCACCTGCTGGGCAGATTACTACAGCAGCTACACCAGGTATGGACTTTTGTTACATTTTGCTTCTCTTTATTGAGAATAGTTTGGAGGGTATTGACTTCTATTGAATGTTGATATGACATTCATCTTCTTCTTGAATTCCTTTTGCACATGCTGGCATCTAGGGCACCAACAGATATTTTCTGCTGCTCTGTCATGAGCTAGATATTAAATGGTTCCCAAGCTTTTTCCCAGTTGTTTCAGCTCTGCCTCTGCAGTCCTTCTTCATGTGGTCTTATTTCTTTATCTAGATAGATAAGATAGGTTGTAAATAGACAGAAAAGAGAGATTTGAATTTTTAAATGCTTTAATCTCTTCAGGTAAAACTTCAGACATGTTTTTTTTGTTGTTTCAGGCACCAAAGCTCCAGTGGTTGCCACAGGTGTCCCAGGCCAGCCCCAGCAGGTCCAGATTATACAGGGTCCCCAGGGGGTCCTCACAGTGAGGGGCTTGCTCCCTGGCCAACAGATAATTCGCCTGCCAGACGGCCGCCTCCAGTTAATCACAGTCAGTACAGCAGGCGGCACTCCTCAGGCTTCCCAGCAGCAGCAGCAGCAGCAGCAGACTCCTTCCTCTGCAGCCTCTTCCACTACACAGGTGTTACAGCTAGCCACCCCTGCCACGCCTGCTACACCAGTCAGAACACAGTTACAGCTGAGACCTATACAGCCAGCTGCCAGTGCTGTTACCCTCACACCCCCTAGGCTGGTGGTTGCACCACGCATGGTGACAACTGTCTCTCCAGCTGGTAAGTCTCATGATTTGAATAGCATGATTATACTCTGTTACCTTTAAAAAGCTTGTTTTCAAATTTATGTCATTTTAAATTAATGTATCTTAAAGGAAGTTTAGTACAAAATGACTTGAAATATTCATGTATGTTTGAATATTAGAACTTTCAAAACGGCTTGTTAAATATTTAGAAGAAAAAAATTTGGGGATTCAGGACATTTATTATTGTTTTCAGTAAATTATTTATTTATTTATTCATTTGTTTATTTATTTATTTATTTATTTATTTATTTATTTATTTATTTACATTGAAACTTCAAAGGCTTTGTTTTATGACATTTTCTCCTTTTAGGCCAGAGACTTATTAGACCAGCTCAGCTTATAGGCCAGGCTGCAACACCAACGGCCGTGGCACCAGCTGTTTCCATAGCAACCACTACCCAAGTGCAACCAGCTGCAGCCGTTGTTCAAAGTAATCCTCCTCAGTCAGTCATTCCCTCAGTGGTCAGTAGCAGTCCGTCTGCAAGCCCAATGTCCAGTCCCTTGTCCAGTCCTACGACCAGCCCTCTCAAGGCTCAGATGTTACTGAAGATGCCAGCCCTGGCCTCAGCAGTCACCCAGCAGCAACAACAACAGCAGCAGCAGGCTGCAGCAAATAAACAGTATGCAATCACACCGCAAGTACTACAGCAAGGTGTGTAATCACAGCAGTTATAATGTCACTGTATTGTATGGATTTACTTTCTAGGCTGATAGCAAATGATAAACATGTTTGATATACCTAAATGGACTGTTATTTCCACTTACAGTTAAGGTTATTGACAGTTGTTCAAGAGACAGTTTAAACTTGGCAGTCTTTGCAGGGAATTATTTTAAAATTTAGTTTTTCATATGTTCCCCTTGCTCATTTTTTACCTGTTCTGCTGTTTATTCCAGTTGTCCAGCAAGCCATGCTACAGAACCAGGACCCTGACATCCAAGCTAAGCTGATGGCTATGCAAAGACAGATTACAGTGCAAAACCAGCAAAAACAGGTTAGCCATTAAGAAGTGACTTTTAAGTACATTTTTCCCCAGGCCAAGTAACAAAAATAAATGATATTTTAATTAAGCAGGTATTATTTTCTTTAATCTGTCAGTTATATGTTGATTTTTTTTTTTTGTACTTTTTAAGTCATTGATTAGTTTTTGTCATAATTTTTAAGCTTATTTTTTATTGGATTTATTTTATTTCTGTTATTTTTGATAGAAAGTGGCAATGTATCAGCAATATCAGACTGCATGTATTTAATCTTTTGGTTATAACACACTTATCTGGTTTCCTCTAACTAGCAAATTAGCACCCTCCAGGCTAGAGACAAACTGATCCAGTCCCAAGCCCAGCAGGCACAACAACAACAGAAACTCCAGCAAGCTCAGGCAGTGGAGCAATTGAAAGCCAAGCAGCAGAAACCTGTGCTTACACCAGAGCAGAAGGAAGAACAGAATAGGTGGGTTGGCTCACTCCAGGAATGAAATTTCTTTGAGCCTCTTAGTTTATTTTACTTAATAAACTTTTGAAATAAATCATTTATAAATTTGATGAAAGTGGGTAATATGAATTTTATTTTTCTGGATCAGAAGAGAACAAACACAGGATTTGGCTAAGTTTTCTATGTGGCCCAGGTAGGTTCACCAAGGGAAATTTGATTATAACCTTTTTGTAGTCTGATGTCGCTTTACCATAAACAAAAATCCTTGATCATGTATTAAATTCCTATTTCAGGGTTTTGTCAGTTACAGCATTGTACAAATTCCCTTATGAGTAGCATGTCTGTTTTGACTGGTATGTTACCTTAGCTCTGTATTTACCCCTATGTTTTCAGAGTGGCCACCTGCAAGCAGGTCATGAAGACAATGCTGGATAAGCTGGAGAAGGAGGAACGGGCCTCACAGAAACAGGCCAAGAAGCAGGAGACAGCTGAGGAGAAACAGAAGCGTGTCACTGCCACCAAGCTGCAGGGTCTACTCTACAAGCAAAAGGAAGCCTTAAAGAAAGATATGCTAAAGAAACGAGATGCCATGGAGAAGTTATATGTGGCTGAGGTGCAGGTATGTGTTTGGTGAACTCAAGTATTCTCCCAGGAATTTGTGACCACCTTGAATTTTGGACAACATACATTTTTTTCTGAAATACAGATTGGAGATACTGAAATTTCAGATTTGTTATCTTTTTGGTGAAAACTGTTATTTGTAATGTCACACCTTCCAACTCTGCAGGCGGATATAGCAGAGCAATACAAAGTACTGAAGAATAAGGGCAGCCCTAGGAAGCGCAAATCTTCAGAAGAGGTCGACCATGTTATAGTGGATGTGACCACTGTGGAGGAGGCTACAAAGGTGAAGAAGAAGAAGCAGAAGGTGATCTCGACAGGGACGCCCAGGTCTCAGGCACAGCAAGAAAAGCTGTACTGCATCTGCAGGACTCCTTATGATGACACAAAGTATGTAATTCTGCAATAATAATAAAATAATAATGAAAAAAATATGAAAATTCTGAATTTCTATAATATTGCATGCGAGTTAATATTGTCCTTTTTTAAAAAACCAACTCACAGCACAGTGCTGCCCTCTACCGTTTTTTACAGGTTTTACATTGGCTGTGACCTCTGTTCTAACTGGTTCCATGGCGACTGTGTAAACATCTCAGAGTATCAGGCCAAGCTGATAGACACCTATGTCTGTGAGGACTGCAAAGCTCAGCAAGAGAACACCTCAGAGGAACTTTACTGTATATGTAGGACTCCATATGATGAGACACAGTGAGTCATGTTCCCACTGCTGCTAGTCCAATTTTTTCAGTCAAGTAGCTGGAAATTAGTAGCCAAATATAGATTTAAGTCAAAACAGTGAGATATTGATGAAAAGTTCAGAACATTTTTTTTCTTTATCCCAAGAACAATATAATTCAGAATATGGTGATAATTTCACGTGCTAGAGTGAGAATACTGTGTGTGTGCAAGTGAATTCATTATATTGTTTTGCCAACTCAGTATGTGTAATGAAATAGTGTGAGTGATTTGATTGAAACACTTGGCTGAAAATAAGATGAAGTCTCCATATTTGACAGTAATTCTGTTAAATATGATTGTCAGTTAGTACCGTTTACACATATAGAGCATGAATGATTTTGAGATAACCTTATATCCCAATAATGCTTAATGATATTCACTTGTATATCCATTTCCATTTACTCTCCCCTATCTTAGATTGTACATCGGCTGCGACCGTTGCCAGGACTGGTTCCATGGTAGTTGTGTGGGGATCAGTAAGAGTGAGGCAGACATGCTGAGCACCTACATCTGTCCCAACTGCCAGCAGAAATCCACTGATCTGGCTGCTCACCAGCACCTGCTGCAGCCCCAGGACTTTGACAGTCTCATTAAACTGCTCCGAAGTCTTCAGGTAAACATGGTATTGGTACCTGTAATATGTGTTGTCTTGTCTGTTGGTTATCATAAATTTCTACAGCTTTATAAGAACAGGTTCCTGGTTTCAAAAAAAAAAAAAAAAGATGAAAAGTTCTCATATACTTATGATATTGCACTGCATTGAGCCTGACATCCTTTAATTGACAGCAGATGCTTTGTAGTATATGTTGGTTTGTTTTCTAGTGTATAATGTGATGTATATCGAAGTCTATAATATTTATTTTGGTTAAACTTATTATGAGAACTCACTAAAAATGTTCTTACATTAAACTCCAGTTGAAGTAATGATGAATTCTCACATAATACATGTTATCCTCACTTTTAGTCTCACAAGATGGCATGGCCTTTCCTAGAACCTGTGGATCCAGATGAAGTTCCAGACTACTATGACGTCATCAAGGAACCCATGGGTAAGCTGAAAGTATCTTGAAAGTGTGTCAGTGAGTGCAAAAAGTCTGATTTTTTTTTTTTTTTTTTTTACATTGA